CTACATGTCTTACTCCAAAATCTGCGTGTCACCTCACAAGGCAAAAAGTCCTTGAGCTGGGAGATGGTTCCAGATGACCCCACAGACCCCCTGTCATCACAGGGCCCTTAAAAGGGATATGGGAGGGTCCGAGTCAGAGAGACTGGGAGTGGTAGGCTGCTGGCCATGAACCAAGGGTGGAGTGCCTGGAAGAGACAAAGATCCATTTTCCCCTGAAGCCAGAAGGAGCCAGCCCCGCGGGCACCTTCACTATAGCCCAGTTGAGACCCTTTTGGACCCCTGACATTTAGAACCGTCAGGGGACACATCTGTGCTGCTGTAGCCACCGAGCCTGTGGCCCTTCATTGCAGCAGCAGCAGCAGGAAACCCACACAAAACGCTGCTCCAGAAAATACTTACAGAACGGATGTCTTCCCGGTAAGATGACTAACAGAAACAGATGCTCCGAGACATCAGAGTCAAAGGCATCACTGAGGGTGGCTGGCCGCACCCAGCGGCCATCGCGCACACGGCTCCCAGGCCGCCAGCGAGGACATTCACTGCTCAATGCCATTTAAGGAAAATGAAAAAGAAAGCAAACCACTTGGAGGACTTCAGACCCACTTCCATTCGCGTGAAGTCCGAGGGCAAATGCCCGCCACGCCCGCCACCGTGCAGCGCGGCATGGGGGCCCGGCCAGGGCTTTTGGCTGGAAGAGGCGGTGAGGGACCCGGAGGGAGCAAGGATCTGGAGGCACACTGTCACCCATCCTGAGACCCAGCGGCACCCACAAACTATCAGAGCAAACGAATGCAATCAGCAAGACCGCCCCACTAACGTCGCTGATGGAACGCGGCGGGTCTCTCGACCACAGTACCGCTTTGGGCTTTCCACAGAGAGTGAGGTGGAAGCTGACACTCTTGGGCGTTCGCCCACATCTCTCCTCCCTGCACATCAGGCTGCAGCAGACACACGGTCTCCACTGGAGATGACCCTTCCTAACTCCCTGCAGCGAGGTGTGTCTGTGGGTCAGGGTTCACGGACGTGACTAGGAATCTAGTAAAGCCTGTCCTCAGCGAGTGTGTGCACTGAGGCCAGCCAGGTGACTGACCTGGGAACCCAGCACCACCGTGTGGAGCCAGGAAAAAGAAAAAAAAAAAAAAGACAGATAGAGAACAACCTGAGAGAAGGGAAATCCAGGAATCATCCCCAGCAAAGCAGAGCAGGAAACAGGGCCCTGCCGACATGAAGGACTCTGACGTGAGGTCCCGCGCTGGCCCCAGGGAGTGCTGCCCTCATGTCCACAGCCCTCTATAGGAGCTGTTTCCAAGCCAGCCACTGAGGATGTGACCACACGCAAATATTCCCGTCAGACAGGAATGTGCTCATCGACAAAGTGTCTTCCCAACCCCCAGGTAACTGAACCACGAAACGAAAGCCACAACAGTGCTCGCTTCAGTAGCACACACGCTGAAATCAGAACGACGTGGAGAAGACTGGCGTGGCCCTGCATGAGGGTGACAAGCAGATTCATAAGGACAAAACAGAGGCCACGGTCACGCCGGCACTGACAGGGCCTTTGGCCCCTTTGAGGGACCAGGGTCAGTGTGAGCTCATGCTTATGAGCAGGTGGGTAAAGAGATAAAGACGTGTGGGTGCATGTGGCTGTGGACTCCACACCCACTCCCCAGCTCTATCCACTGAGAGGGCCTGGGAGTAAGCGCTCCTTGGCAGCCTAGGTCCCAGCTTACAGCACTATCCACCACGACGAACCAGGGTGCGTGAGTAGGTGACTGACCCAAGGCTGGGCCCGGAAGGTAACAGAAGTGGAGCAGGGGTCCTGGCCCCAGCTCAAAGGGGCCCCACTAGACACCCCGGGGCAACTAGAACTTCAAGATAAGCAGTAACTATCGTTAGGTGAACAGAATGAATCAGATTATAATCGACAGAATAACCCAGAAGCTCACGAGTCCACAGGGAGACAGATGAGTAAGAAAGGAACACGTGCCTTTCCAGAAGGTGAGCTGATCGTGTGGAGTAGGAGTCACCACCACCTTAGTAATTGCGGTGACAATTTATTCGGGAGTCACCAGTGGAGGCTTTGTTGAGGAAGAGAAGATTCAGTCTCAAAGACCCCCTACCACTTTTCAGGCAGAGTGAGAGCAGGGCCTCAGTGTGGAGACACTGCGTAGACGTCACTTACTGAGTGACCAGGTGACAGCAGGTGGGCACCAGATGGGCGGCAGGAGAGCCTTCAAGCTGCAAAAGACACAGCATCCCTCGGAGACTCCCGCTACAAGAGTCTCACCGCCAGGGAACCCCGGATGAGCCCCGAGGGAGGGAGGTCACCGGGGACAAGGGAAGGTGGAGGGGCGGGCCACCCAAGCGCAGCGCCTGGCTGAGGGGACGGCCCTGACAGCCTGGAAGAGGAACCCTCTGCCTGCTGACCACCGCATTCGGAGACGAGAGCGGACTTGGGAGACCCCTGCCGCCGAGTGCCCGCTCGGCCCACGCTGGGCCCCATGGCCAGCCACCGTCCTGCCCCCAGGCCCACAAGGAGTTGCACTCAGGAGGGAAATGTCCACTGTCACCGTCCCTGCACCTCCCATGCTCGGCGGCCCCTGCTCAGCACCGGACACTGGACACCAGGTGGGGGTGCAAATAGCAAAAGGGGTGCAAAGCTTTCAGTCCCGCACCCTCCACAAGCTGCACCCGCCGGCAAACCCTGAGACACCTCGCCTGGCCCGTCTCCGACCTCCTTGCAGGAGGGACGTAGGGGATGTCGACAGCGAATGTGAGCACATGGCCCTGTCTCAACGGCGGGCTTCTCACGGCTGTGGACTCCTCCCCACCTGACACCAGCGGCTGTGGGAACGGAGGGTTGGGGACCCTGGGGACACCGTGCCTCACCTCCTCTAGACGTCTTCGGCCCCCTCCTCCTGCCCTCGCATTGGGCGCTCAGGCCGCTGCTCTGACACCGGGGCACCTCGCCAGCGGCCGCACTCTGCCCTGCGGGTCTTCGCTTCCGTGCCTCCCCTCCGTCCCTTGCTCTCTGTCCATCTTCTGGCACAGAAACGCATGTGTTATTTCACGTCTTTTATGTCTGATGCACACAGTCCTGCCATTAAGTTCTTTCTAGAATTTTTAGGTGAGTCCCACGTAGCAAACAACACGACAGAGTCAAGCAGAAGTGTTAATGAAGAGAAAACCTGAATATATGTAAAGTAGCTGTGCCCTAATCTCCTCCAGAGCTGTCAGAGATTACGTGTGAAAGGAGTCAGAAGGAACTGACTTCTTCTATGGCTACCATAATCTCACAAAGTACAATCCAAGGTACATTTAAGCAATTCGCGTGCACTGAAAGAAAATTCAAACCGCACTCACCTGTACACGGCAGCCCGGAGCCCTCTGCTACATCTTGAAGCCTGTGGAGACACACAACACAGGAGCGTCATCCCACACGTGCTGACCACACAGAGCCCGTGTTCCCCCCACGTCCCCAGACCAGCAGCTTTGGCTTTGCCCAGTTACACCGGCCTGTTCATTTGCTTGCTTGAAACAACCCAGAGAAAAATAAGAATTGAGACAGCGAAGAACCAGGATCGACCAAAGACACACGGGCAGATCTCAGTGGCAGTCTGGTGTCACTAAGGCCCAGGGGCTGGTGGGCTGGAAGGGCGTGGGAGACAGGGGAGTGCACGGGGAGCATGTGGGAGTTGTGGGGGCAGGCAGGGGACATCCCATGTTATGAAGCCCAAGGAGACAGGAGGAAGGTCTGTGAAGGCCTACCATCTCGAGGGCACAAGGGTTCAAGGAGCCAAAGCAAACCTACTCAAACAAACCCACTTGGAGAATCAATAAGACAGTATTTTCCAACTCTTTTTACGAAACTAACATCCACACACACCAGACCAGAACTGGAAGGAAAATCAGACTGACCTCACTGGTGGACATTAGTGTCCAAGTCACAGCACGTGGAGTCACCTGACCCAGCAGTGTCTGAGAAGGAGGTTCGTGCCTCACAAACTAGGTTTACCCCAAAATACAAGGGGGCTTAATATGAGAAAAAGAAGCAATTTCACAAAAGACAAAAAAGGAGAAAAATGACAAGATCTTCCCAAAGATTACAGAAATCATTTGATAAAATTCATTATCCATTCATGACTTTAAAAAAACTCTTAGATGCCTGGGTGGCTTGCTCGGTTGAGCGTCCAACTTTGGCTCAGGTCATGATCTCATGGTTCGTGGGTTCGAGCCCCACGTCAGGCTCTGTGCTGACAGCTCGGAGCCTGGAGCTGTTTGGATTTCTTTGTCTCCCACTCTCTCTGCCCCTCCCCTGCTTGCGGGCGCGCTCTCTCTCTCTCTCTCTCTCAAAAATAAACATTAAAAAAACCCACCAAAAACCTTTTCACCAATTTAGAAGCTAATAAAAATTCTCTAATTTAAAAGAGACACAAACACGAATACGCACTCAAAGGCTTATGCCTGAATGTTCAAAGCAGCTTTATTCATAACAGCCCGCACTGGAAACAGCTACAGTGCCCATCAACGGGTGGTGGGAGTCGGAAAGTGCCCCATCCACACAGCTGGTACTTCTCAGCAACCAAAAGGAACAAGGGGCGAAATCTGTGCTGCAGGAAAGAAGCCAGACACGAGGACCACACAGTGCATGTCCCAGCGCACACACGATTCTAGAAAAGGCAGATGTGGGTGCCTGTGGACCGGCCGGCGGCAGGGACTGGTGGCTGGAAGGCTGAGGGGATGAACAGTCGGGGTCGGGACTGGGGTGCGGTCACAGATGCACCAAGGGACGCCAGCCACACCGAAGACTGTGGTGAGCTTCAGGCTGTGTAGACGACACCTCCACAAAAAGTGCATTTTACAATGAAGAAAACTGCCGTCAACGCCATCCCCAGTGATGAAATAGGCAAACCGAAACGAAAACCAACTCTTACTACCTCGTAACAGGGATCTCCCCTACCTCACCCCCAAACGATCAATTCCAGGTGGATGAAGCCCACGTGTGAAAGCACCATTCAAAACGAGAGAAGATCCCGAGGAGGACATCATCTTGACCTCAGTGAGAAAAGGTTACCAAACAATCAGAAGGCGCTAACCACAGAGGGACTACCCTAAGAAGAGCAACTTTGTTAAAGAGAAGGGCAGCAGATAATCGAAAACCACAAGAGTGGAAGAGGCCACGGTGGACGAAAACACCCCCGTGGGTAAGACTACAGTCCAGACGGGGCTCGGCAAGGCTGGCCTGGAAACGAAGCGAGATGGGGCCTGCCGCGCCCCCTCACCTGTGTGCCGTCTGTGACCGCTTTGGGACTGAGGACTCTCGACACCAGATGGCCCAAAAAGCTAAGGTATTTGCTGTCCGGTTCTTTACACAAGACATCTGCCAACATCGGCTCCGGACCGTACAAGGAACCACGGGCACTTCACAAAAGGGGAAATCCAAACAAGCATATTTTCAAATGTTCAGCTTCACTAGTAACCCAGAAAATGCAAGCTAAACTCAGTGAGGGTGTTACAGGCCCCCCACACCAGCGCACTCTTTTCCCTTGCATCTGCCACCCCCTGACTCCATCAAACTGCTCTTGACAAGATTCCAGTGACGAGGACGCTACCAACATAACCTGTATCCAAGATCACTGGTCACTGCCCCGACCGTGGTCTGGCCAACCCCTCCAGTCTGAGACCCGAGCCTCTCCCACGTGGCTCCCTGCCGTGGTGCACGGAGGCTGGCTGCACTGGTGCCGGAGCATTCCAGAAGGGCGTGGGTGGTGTGTCAGGCACACCGCGGACCCAGAGGCAGCCATGCTTGTGTGAAGAGGTCCTGCCTCCCTGTCCACTCACCTCGACCCGCCCCTCCAATCAGCCTCCTCCACCACGAACAGTCCTTCCTGTTAGGCCAGTGCCTCCGTCCCGGCCGCTCTGCTGCACACCGCTCCGCGATCCGGAGCACGCCCTCCCTCCGAGCCCCTGGGCCCTGCTCAGTGGATACTTCCCCGCCCTGCCCTCCCCGTGTCACACCCACATCCTGCATTACTGTCCTTTAGGTGAGTACATTGGGTTTCTTTTGCAATATGAAAGCAATACGCACATTTACTGAACGTGATTTGGAAAGTAAAGAATAATATTAAGGAAAAAAAGAACCCTACAACCCTAATCACCAAAAAGGAGCTGTCGTCCTTAGCGTGATGGTGTATTTCCCTCTGTGGGTTCACCCTTAAATACTTTTCACATGTATACACAGATCTCCATCTTTACTGAAAAGCCAACCTCGGACTACAATATGATGCATTACAATGCGGTTTTTATAACTAGTCAACCACGGGGGGTACCTTCCCGTGCCAGCACACACAGCAAGTGGGCTCCAGAGCTCAGGCCCTCGGGCCTCAGCCGCAGCTGAGTGAGGACAGCGTTATGTGGTGTGCCTTGCCCACAGATGCGGGGCACGATGGCGGCTCCGTGACCGTGGGGTCCCCGACGGAAGCACCCCCTCCGGCTGGTCCCAACTTCCCGTGCGGCTCGGACCCTCCTTAGGCCCACCTGCCCCGGGGACCCTTCAGGAGAAGGGACCTGCATCCACCCCCTTGTGCAAACACCCAGGGGTCATCCCTTCCTTTCGTTAACCACATCTTACAAGAATCTTAAAGTTTTCCAATTATTTTTTTAAAGTATATTTATTTATTTTGCACTAGAGTGAGAACACACAAGCAGGGGAGGGCAGAGAGAGTGAGAGAGAGAATCCCAAGCAGGCTCTGAGATGTCAGCACAGGGCCGACGTGGGGCTCGATCCCACGAACCATGAGATCAGGACTTGAGCCGAAATCAAGAGTCAGATGCTCAACTGACTGAGCCCCCCAGGCGTCCCATCCACTTGCTTTTTCATTAGCTTTGCTAAGTTGTATTTTTCTAGATTATTCATCTATCTATCCCATAACCTTTATTAAACAGCTTTTAAGGAGAAATATTTGACAAAACAAACTGCACGTATTTTAAAGAGACAACTTGGTAAGTTTTGACGTTTGCCTGAAAACCACCACCACGACGGAGATGAGGACTCTCGCCCCAGAGACCCCCGGTCTGCCCAACAACTGCACCGAGGGGGCGTGTTCTGGGCACTGTGTTTGTGGGTCACACAGCACAATTGTCTCCCTCATCCTGTTTCCAGGCTCACTCACGTTGTCACATCAACAGCTCGTTCTCCTCCTGAGCAGCGTCCACTGAAATTTTGTTGGCCCACTCACCAGCAAATGGATGTTTGGGTTGTTTCCTGTGGGGCTGTGAGGACTAAGGCTGCTGTGAACACTCACGGCCACACCTCTGGGTGGACAGACGCTCTGGAGTAAATGCCCACCACGGGGAGCCACACACGGCTATCTGACAACTTTCTAAGAAATCGCCAACCTGCTCCCCCCCGCCCCCCACCTCCAAGCTCCAGCTGCCCTGTGGGGGTCCTTCTGTCTTCTCTCCTTCCTCCCCACACCATCCTCTCCCCAGTCCTGCCCCTTCCTCCCTGAATGCCACGCCCTCTGAGCCCACGGCCATTCCCTGGACACTCCATGGCTCCCATCTGGATGGCAGACCCATCCAGAACAGGCCTTCCTACACCCAGTCTCATGGACAAGTTTAAGCAACATGTAGAAAAGCCAATCAGACATGTCCTTCCTGCACGAAACCCCTGAAAGGGTCCAGACTCCTGATGAGCCACGCCAGCCCCATGTATATCAGGGCTCCCATCCACACTGGCCCCGTCCACATCAGGCTCTGTCCACATCAGGGCCATCCATTATCAGTGTCTGTCCAGGTCAGGCTCCATCCACGCTGGCCCCGTCCACATCAGGCTCTGTCCACACCGGCCCCGTCCATTAACAACGTCTGTCCAGGTCAGGCTCCATCCACGGGCAGAGCCCGTCCGTGTCGGAGCGCTCGTCCGTGCCAGTGCCACCGGTGTGCACCATTCCTGCCAGCCCGGCCCCCCAACCCCAGGTCTAAAGCCAGCTGCTGTTCTAACTCCCACGCCGTCAGCATCTTCAGAGCCGTGCCCA